ATATATATATGTTTTCTCAAGAGATCTGGTGTCCAAGGTCGATGCGATGTTATATGATTCATAAGTATCGTCTCAACGTCTTTGTAAGAGATAATTAACTACTGACGTTGCATGAAGAATATATAATTGACCATCTGTGAAGGAACTTGGTCAGGTGTAATCCGATTGTATCAAAACAAATAGCTTATTGACACATACATTGCAAACTGTTTCCGATGAATAAATGTTTTAATATGTACTTTAATTTTTAAATGCAAATCTAAATCTAAATCTACTAATTATACCAAATAACTATGTGTTATATATAATTAATATGTTTATTTAATTTTTATATTATAATTATAATTGTAATTCTCTGTGTACATAAAATATATACTTATATCTAAAACATGTTTAATTACTATAAAATGATTTTGCTGTAATAAAAAATAAATATTATTTACAAAAAGGAAGAAAATTACAGATATAAATTATATATAATACTATTATATAATTCACGTTTATTAGAAAGTGAAACATTGCATCTATTTTTATTTCTATCGCACGGTTCTTTTCCACGGTTTCTTACTATTCAATAATATGCCGCGAAAATACCACATGCGTCACATTAATTGGTGGAGGGAATTCCCTGATTTTCCCAATAAGAACAAGTTGACGAGGAAGAAATAGAGAGACATCTTAGAGCACTGCTTTAGGTGAATGGCCCGCGGGAATCAAAATTAATTAAAAATTAGGGAATTAAAAATTGACTTTTTGATATTATCTCAGCGAGGTCTTCATAATTACATATATCATCATACATATACTTACATTAAACAGTTACTGAAGTTTACGGATGTGATTGACAAGTATTTTAATATTTGCGAAGTCAAAGCAAGGAAGGAAGTTTTTCTTCGTAAAGATATTTTGTAACGCTAATGCTAACTGAATAAATTATATAACGTCGTTATGTTGTTATGAATTTTGAATACAAAAGTGATTTTTTTAAATTCATTACAAAGTCAAAAATTTTATGTAATCTAACAGTATCTAACAGTATCTAAACAGTATTTAAAAAATGAAATGTATTTTAAACGATTTTAACAAAGTGAAATTTTTTTATGTAATTGACTATTTAATCTTTATGATTATATGGTAAAATAATATGTAGATTATACTTGTATCATTTGATTGAGAAATTTGAGATTGAAAGCGCAAACATTTTAGCCTAATATTGTTTCTAAGTCGTGTCTATCTTATTGAAAAATTATCTGCAACTGTTGCTTACATCACAATAGACGGATGAACTTGAAATACAAAAGATTAATTCAAGTTAACCAATAAGGATAAATGATGTAAAAGTGAACCAAACATTTATACGATGACTAATACAGAATATGACATTTCATTCGTGTAAATAATTTTACTTAGAAAATATTAGCATAACAGATTTATTTCGTTGATTTTACCTATATTATTTTATTTATAAATGATAAATCATAAATATATAGTAATACAAAGTATAATACAGTTTATAGTCTGCGAGAGATCGATTTATTTTCAAAATTGTTTATATGAAAAATAATCTAGCTGGACTCAAAACCGTAAGAAGTTAAAAGTAGATGACAAAAAGAATAAAATAAGATCGAATAAATATACATTTTTCGAATGACGATCGACTTCATACTTCAAGTGGCATGTGATACCATGAATCACTTCGTTCTTGAGTTAAGAATAAAAGAGGCTTAGAAAGATGCAATGCATTACTTCGAAAAAAAGGAATGTAGCAGTGACGCAAGTCAACGAACATTTATTTCTTGTTCTTCTGGCTTCGTAATTCGAGACCGTATTTCCCGTTTTGTCTTTGTGATCTGTTTAAAGACAATAAAATTTAGACAAATTAT